GTCGCGTGAATAACAAGTATTATTCGGGTAAAGTGTCACCGAAAGAAGTGATGGCCGAAGAAGAGAGGGAATGTATGGAACAAGTGTTCGTCGGATGTGCTGTGCGATCGTATCCTGATCTCGAGAAACATTCAATGCAGACTTGTTCGTGTCGTTTATATCTTTGATTAAAATTGTACCATATCGATGTTGAAGTGTACGCTGCAGCTTCGGGCAGACTCGTGTCTGACCTGCTTAAGCACTCACTAGAGAATTAGTAATTTGAAAGATAACCGTATGGTGCAAAGCAAGGAATCCAAAAGTTTCGAGAAGCCCACTGATTAGTGTAATCTTTAAGAGAATTATAGAAGCCCACTTATTATTGACAGGATTGTATCGTAAATCTTCAAGTTTTAGTGGATACTAATGGTGAACATGTACGCCCTGTTTATGCCAGAAAATATTGTGCAGCAGAAGAGTCGTCGAATCGAACAAACGATGTTGAAGTTGTATTGTCAAATCAACCCAGAACATGGCTACCACGAATCAACGCGTCTGAATCGCCAAGAACGAGGTGATTATTTTCGAGTCGGCGGTAGTTTCGAATCGAATCAGAATCTGTTTTCGTTTATTAGTTGCAAATTGATTTGCAAAAGAACATTTTTTAATACCTTATCTTTGATAAGTCTACAATGATGGATACGATTATTGGTTATGATAAAATGTGTGTTGAAGATTGAGGAATGTTGACGGTATTGGTCCTCGAACGGAAATGGTTAATGGGGATAATTTGAATAACACAGACACTGTCAGCGTTCATAGCGGTTCGACTTGGAGCGAACGTATTCAGCGTCTCATACCTAAAGTATTCACGAAAAATCCGCGCTGTGATGAAGGTTCTTCGCTTTATCTTCAGTATAATCTCTTTCAATATTTTCACTTTCAAAAGTTTTGCACTTAAGGTTACAATGTGATACCTATGCTGATACTAAGTATTCTTCTCACTGTGCTGTCGAAGAGATAACTTTGATGAAGTGTAAATGATTAAAGTTTTGTATACCGGACCGCTGGATGTTCTTCGCCCAGACTTTACGAATCCGTATGATCTGAAGTCGAAAAAACAAATCGCGAAACGAGAGAAACGTGATCGAAAAGCTCTAACCAAACGTCTCCGTGCACGTCGACGAGCTGAATTAGCGGTTATCGCCAAAAGAGAGGCGAGGTATTCCATTCATGTCTTTCTAAAGACTGTGCAGATGAAAATTCGGATCCCTTGTAATTAAAGGATTGAGGGATTCTCATAAGTTAGGATGCAAAATTTAAGGGATTGTTATTCAATGTAATTAGTGTGATTCAAGAATTTTAATATGTTAATTATATTTTCTTTTCACTGAAATACAGCTCTCCAGAAGTGTTGTTGTTAAATAATTTTGTAAATCGTATTCTAGAGAAAGAACAATCTCGAGTGCTATCGAGTTATTACTGCAGTTATTACGTATGATGACGTCCTTCGCTATTTTGGTTGGTAACATTCGTAAAACGTTTATACCGGCTCAATTCAAATGGCTCAAACCAGGGCAAAACGCCTTCGATAATCCAGGACTACTGATGCTTTTTAGGTTTGAAATTTTTTTGTAAAGTTATAGGCATTATGGCCACTGATTTCTTAGTGGTTTGGCGTCGTTGGGTTGTATTTGTTAAGATTTATAAAAATACATACGCGAATATCTATTCGGTTGCACAGTCTTTTTCCTTCTTAGTACATCGGCCGCGCAGTGCTTCTTATGTTCCAGTGATTCTTACTTATTATTTTGTGAATTTTTTAAATTAATAACCTCGCGTCACGATTTGTCCTGTAGTAAACTCGTTTTTATTTGCCTTCTTGCATAAAATGCTTTTTTTTGCTTCTGTAGGCGCACGCGAAAATCTCCTTTCAAATGCTCATATATAAAACTTTTTTGGTATTACTCATCTCTTAACCACTAATGAAATGAAGGACGGAATTCTAGATGGTATTTGGTTAGATTATCGTACAGTAATTATGGACAAATAGTTATTAGTAGTCTCATATCTGCCTGTGCAATCTTTGCATCTGCTAGATCACAACATTGATTGTCGAAAGTATGGTAATAGAGTGTATGTTGAAATATATTTTTAATATGTAAGCGACATTACGAACAGCGAAAGACAAATTTATTTCATTCCTTCGTTAGAAAAAATTTTTTTATTTGCTTTGAAAGCTTTACATTTGTTGGTAGAAACGCCAGTATTCAGAAGTCTATTGTACCAGTGGGAATTCATAGTTATCGACAGCACTAACCATTGAGAAATCAGCTACCATAAAAGAAAATATGTGGTTGTGATAGTAATTGCTCTTGGAAGAGTTCATCTCCACTTTCAGATATAGCGTAGCAGTAATATATCGTCGTTTCCGAGAATGGAATGTTTGGCATTTTAGCAAAATCACATCAAATTGTTTGCTGGATATTTATTTTGGACGTTTTTGAAGTGTGTGTGAATAATGAATGATCTTAAGTGCGTCTTATNTTCATCAATCAAATGTGTTGTTCAGTTTGTTCGCATTCTTTGAATATGCAATAGCTTGCATCACTCAACTGTTCATTTCCCACTAATTGCTTTTTTATTTCGCACATCCAAACGCTTCTACTAAAAGTGTTTTGAACAGCAATTCACTGATTAAAAAGAGGAATAGCTGTAAACTTAATTGCAATGTTGTTATTTATTGCAATTTGCATATAATGATTAGTGAAGATTTATGCTTTATGCTTTAAGGTGCTGTTTATGCCGTTAGTTTATTCAGCGTAACCGTGGAATGATTTGAACTAGCTCGTTGCTAAAGCACAATGATGTCTATCATTGGAAGTGACCTTTTTATGCTGGTAAGCAAGGAGGTTCTGTTGAGTTTATTTATAGTTCAATTTCAGATGTACAGTCTTTTTGGACGTTCTGTTGTTTTGGACAAATGTTATATGGGCGTATTGCTTACAGTGGCATTTGTGCTGTCGTTTGGGATTGATTAAGTTTTGGCTGTGGACATTGATACTGATAACAGTCGGTGGAATTGTTATGTTGATACCGATGTCATACGTTCAAAATGATCTCGACATCAGTTGGTGTCGTTTCGTACCGAACTCTTCACTTGCTAAGTATCAGCCGAACTGGTAGCAGCTGATTGTTTTAGCTGTTTTGATCTTGTCAAGTGGATCTGATTCGGTGATTGTGAAAATTTTTACTTAATCAATATTCAGTGTTGTGATGATTGTTCAGCATTTAATGAACAACTTGTGACTTGTATAATAGCATATGTGGTTCAGATTCAGCAACTGAGTATCATTTCTTGAAGGTTAACAATATTAAGTTATTGGAGTTGAGAAATTGCAGAGGTTTGAACAATTTAATGGAATTGAAATGTTTTTTAAAAATGTTTATGTACAGATGTAATTCTCAAATTTTCAATGTTACAATGGATTATTCCTTCTAAGTTTTGTTCAGTTATGGCAGAAGTGCTTCTGATGATGTTTTGATGATAAAACGTCGTTAACGTGAATTGTATTATTAATATGTTGCAATCTGATATTGTATTTCATCATGAGCTTTTGTTCATATTGTTATAGTGTTTCTGTTAGGTTGTATTCAGTTGTGTTCGTTTCTTTCTATATTCCTTCANATCATACTTACGGTTTTATTTCGCTTTATTTATTCATCGTTTTACATTTGTAACTGCGAATCATTTTCAAATGATTCATCAACGCTCATTCTTCAAGGAGCCTTTCTTGATTCTTTTCTCGTATGTTCCAAATAGGTGTTTAATTTGTTAATTTACTGTTATTGTCATGTTATCTATCGACCACCTTTGATAATGATGATGATAACACTCGACTCTATCGACTTTTGAAATTTATTTCAACAGAATTAAAATCAAGGAACAATATCACATTTTTAACGAATGACTGTTATGATTACACACAGCAGTTTATAATCATTTGTTACATACATTTTTATTGGTTTTTCTAAAAAAGAAAACTTGTGTTTAAATATTGGGTTAAAATTGATGGGCAATGAGTAAAAGAATGCTGTAAAAGATGGAAAATATCCGAATAAAGTTTGCGTACTTATGACTGATATTCATTTTGGCATCATTATTTTAAAAGTACGGGGAGGCGAAATAAGTATGATTGAGTGATATGAAAATTACTCTGTAGAAAGGGCCGGATAAGCTGGTAATGGAGAACAAAAAACCACTGGTGAATAATTACTGAGGTATTCTTGTCTAATATTTGCAGGGTGTTATTCCCATTTTAGTCACATTTGCGTTCTGTGTATGAAGGGAGGATTCGAAGCGCATTTGAACATGCATTAAGTAATTCACAACAAAATATGTTCACTTTGACGGTTCGAGCGATCAGGAAAGTCTTCATTTTAAATGTGCTTATCACCGACAAATACCTTTCCATTGAGTACATTTTCGAAAAGATTACAGTACTCTTCCATTAAACCTCACGCCGCAAATCTGTAATTTTTGTTGTAACGATCACATGTCTCTGCTGAATCTCACAGAATTGTTATGCTTAGTCTTGCCCATTGTGTATTATGTTTATCTTCCGAGTGTGTCATATTTTGTCAAATATTTCCGTCGCTTCCTTTGATTTTATCAGTGAGTCGGAGTTCAAGTACCTGATCATGAAACACTGAGTAGCTGCCAAAGTTGGAGATGTTTCGAATAAGAGGCTCAGTCAAAGATACCGTGCCCAGCCAATTCAGACTTAAGAGATCTTGAGAATCTTTGATGTGATAGCATTTTGAAATGTTGGGATGTTCAATTAGGAAATAAAACAGAATAATCTGTAGCCTCTAGAGTCGAGTGCCTCACCTCTCGTAGGAGTTGTAACCGATCAGCTTCTCGGGGCTGCTCGTACGATTTTCCTGAAATATTTCTGTGATAGTCGATTTTAATAGAGGTTATTTTCGTGACGAAGTGGAGTGAAAGAGTGGTGACAATATTTACAGTATTGAAGTTATGTGCAGTGGAAGAAACGGGGTTCTTGAGTTTTGAGAACTCGGTTCGGTGCGTCTTTCGACGAGCTAATAACGGGCATATGAAAGTTTGCAAGCCGCACGGGGTGTGAGGGAATCCGATATTTCAGCAAGTTTAAAATTAGCAGCAATACTGCCCTTCGTTCAGCAAAAACGAGCAGTATGCACAAAAACTGACTATACCATCGTAATCTGCACCCAGTGCAAAAATGACTGGCAGAGATTCAGAAAGGCGTTGTGAATGTTATATTAATTGCAGCACAACAAATGCACAGCAGAACAACTACCCAACAAGAAACAAGAACTGATGCACTTGAAATGTGCTCCTCTGGATATTCAACGACAATTCAGTCATCACTTTTGTTCCAAAACAAACGAAACACCTTCAAACTCCAGTCTCTGAACATGTTCAATCAAGCTTTTGAACCTAATATTCGGTGTTAACGTATATTGCGACACGTTAATTGTGTAAGAAACGTGCACTGCATATGCCGAAACGTTGGCATTCGTATTAGGAGTGAACGTGGAAACTCAAATAAAGGAATAACTATGCAGACTGGTTGAATTTCACAAAGNACTACTATGGTGTGCAGAGTTGGTGTAACAATGAAAATGAAAAGTGCTGGTGCGATCAATCAATGTGTTCTCAAAGGTGCTTAATTGAAACAGCTGAAGCAACACTCTTATCAAGATGCACCTATTCAGAAGAAGGCCACGTCTGCGTGAATCCAGAATGTGACGTTTTACTGACCGCATGAGAAGGCATAACACAGCTTGTTTCTGTCGATGATTTGTCCTTCAAGCAGTCAACGATCTTAATGTGTTCATATAGGTGAGTTTCATTTCAGATGAACAAGTAATGTTTCATACTGGTTTGTTCTTTGTAACATTGATTGATGATGATTTATCTTTCCAGAACGTTTTATATTTGTAGCGAAAGATTTGTTTTGACGAAGTCAAAGAGAACTGAGTGGAAGTATTGATGAAGGAGAATAAAATTACACCGAATCAATTTAATGTGTGTGAGAGCGAGATTCGACTGAAGAAATTTTCATCTGATTGACGATAGAAGCAACGATAATTCAAGCACAATCATTAATGCTTGCGAATATTGAAGAGATTCAATGAATCATTTCATCTCTCATATCTATTCATCTTTAGGTTCAGTTTCAAAATGTTTACATCTAAATGTGATGTATTTAACGTAATCAAAAAAGAGGCAACGCGATAAAGCAAGCAATCTGAACGAATTCATTAACTGATTATAAAAGGTAGTATTATGTTGGCACAACTTGTATGTGTAACAAACTACAAACTTCATAAATACATCCAATATGATACATCATTATGGAGTTTGTGACATTCTTCAAGACTTATAAAGATTTACAATATATGTTCAACAAACAAAAAGAGGTGAATGAAAAAAGTGAAGACGAATTATGAGAAAACGAAGTGAGCCATATCGTAGTTCTAATGGAAAGAAAGACTTCACGACTGCATAAGAAGAACAACGACATTTGAAAAAGTTTGACGACGAAAAGTTTCGTTAGCTGCTCAAGTTAAGTGATAGGATCAAAACGGAAAATGGAGAAGTGAGGGTCATAATATGGAGCTCAACCCGAAAAAGAACGTTGATTTGATATTCGCTGATCACTCACTTTGACCAGGATGGCGCGAGCGCATCGCGGGTCAGCTCTTTCCTAGTTGTTATCTCGCGAAACTTGTCTCATTTTGGAGCCAGTTGTTTGCATGCGACGGAATCGCAAAGTTCTGCAAATGACATGAACCCTTATAGTCCGCGGTGATAATATTCATTGGTTGATTGTTCATCAATTATTTTAATTGACCCGAACAAAGAGACAGTGGAAGCATTCGAAGGAAGCATTCAAAGATGATGTGAAGCAGAGGAGATGTACGGAATAGAACAACAAACCGATCGCGTATGACTTTTCGTGTGAAGCTAGACTATTCAGCGTTTCACAACCGTAACTTTCAAGTGGGTTTGAGAAAAGTATGGCAACATTTTATTAAAAAAAACACTTCCCTTGTTACAATCAACTACATCATAAATGATACAATAAATTCCATAAGTTTCGATCCAAGCAACAAGAGATCTCCCATACGAAATTCTCGTAGTGAATAGTTGATCGACACAACGAAGAATTCAATGAACTGA